CATCGGCATCAGCATCAGCATAAGCATCAGCATCATGACCATCATCATACTCCTCATTCCTGCCCCTGTTTCTCCGTGTTATCCTCCTTCTCCCCCGTCTTCGTCATTATCCTGTCCCTCCTCCTCCTCCTCCTCCTCCTCCTCCCCCTCCTCCTCCTCCTTCTCCTCCTCATCCTCGTCCGCCTCGTCCGCCTCCTCCTCCTCATTTTCCTCCTCCTGCGTGGGCTCCCAGCTCCCAGACTCCTCCTCCTCCTCCGTGCTCCCTCCTCCTCCTCCTCCTCCTCCTCCTCCTCCTCCTCCTCCTCCTCCTCCTCCTCCTCCTCCTCCTCCTTGGACAGCCGCATTCCTGAAAGCGGCACCCTCGGACCGCCGCTTTCCGTAGAGCGCCGCCAAGTCGGGGCTCTTCCTTCTCCTCCTCCCCCTCTCCCGCCCACCCTCTCCTCCTCCCTCCTTCTCCTCCTTCTCTTGCTCCTCCTCCTCCTGCGCCCCTCCGGTGAGGCCTTGCACCTGTTTTCATGGTGTCAGTGCCGAGCACCCTCGGGGCACACTGTACACGGCACGTACTTCGCAGGTTGGGCGGGGTGCAACCGGCCGATTTTTCTGGAACCGCGGGCTCTGGGGCTTGGGGTGGACGTTGCGGAACCTGTATCGACGGGTCTCCCGTCGTTGGGTGTAGCAGGGTCCAAGTCTCAGCCTGGCCGTGTTGGTGAAGGCGGGTAGCGGCGCCTGTGCGGTCATTTCATTGTGATCTGACCCTCAGGGATCGGCATTTCCTCGGGAGGCAGTGGCTTGCGCCACGTGAGTCCCAAGGGGCATTGTGCCCACCCAGGGCTGGGGATCTTGTGCTCCTCAGTATGCCGTGCCAGCTGTTCCGACTGGGATGCCTGTGGCTCCCAACGCACCATGTCGGAACCGCTGGGCCGCGAGTCTTCACAGGCGACGTGGTCACCCGCTATGCCCTTCCTGCGCAGCTGTTGCTGCTTTCCAGGCGGTAGTTCGTTGGCTGGGCGTGTGCAATACACGTCCGGCCTTCGGGAGACCGACCCTGGGCGCCGGACTCCTCTTCCTCCTGCTCCTCTTCCTCCTCCTCCTCCTCCTGTTCCTCCTCCTCCTCCTCTTTGTTCTGTTTTGGGCCACCTGGGGGCTGGAGGGGGAAAGGGAAAGAGGGCAGGGGAAAAGAACAGAAGGAGGAGGTATCATGTCATGATTAATACAAGGAGGGGCAGGGGGAAACAGCGAAAGAGGACGAACCAGAGGAGAAGGAGGACCCGCTTTCCTCTGGAGGTCGCCAGAGGCCTCTTGATGCATCTTGAGGTCCCTAGTGAAAGAGGACGAGCAGATGGAGAAGAGGACGAAAAGGAGGACCCCTGCACCTCTGGAGGTCACCAGAGGCCTCCAGCTGCATCCAGAGGCCCCCAGATGCTTCTTAGAGACCCCTACCTGGAGGCCTCCCAAGCCCCAGGGCGGACAAGAGCAGCCAAACACGTCCTCCTCCTCCTCCTCCTCCTCCTCCTCCTCCTCCTCCTCCTCCTCCTCCTCCTCCTCCTCCTCCTCCTCCTCCTCCCCCCCTCCTTCGAGGACGAGTGATGTCCGCCTCTGCGGCCAATGCTCCGAACGATTCCCTCGGGACTCGAATTCGTCTGCACCCTCGCTACCCTTCCTCCTTCCCCCCCCCCGGGGGCGCACGCTGGGGCCCCTGCTGGCGCCAGGCGCGCGCAAGGTGCCGAGCGCTGGCTCGAAGCTTAGGGCCGCTCCGCCCACGCGAGGAGGACCACACGGGGCCCGCACTTCAAAGTTAGAAGATCATCGGGGCGGGAGGAGGAGGGAAACCGCGGAGGAGTAAGAGGCGAGAGGAGGAGGAGGAGGAGGAGGAGGAGGAGGAGGAGGAGGAGGAGGAGCAGGAGGAGCAGGAGGAGGAGGAGGAGGAGGAGGAGGCAAGGGGGGAGGACGTGGTGGGGCTGGGGCGTAAATGACTGGGACTGGGGCGTCCATGATCTGGGCTTCTGGCAACCATGAGTAGAGCGCAGACCTGTGCCTGTCCACCGACATGAGGCGGCTTCGCTGCACCACGCCGCCGCTGGGAGCTTAGCTTCGCGAGTGCCCCCGTCGGCCTCCAGCCTCCTACTCCACTTCCTTCCCCTTACTCCCTCCTCCTCCTCCTCCACCTCCTCCTCCTCCTCCTCACCACCGTTATCATCATCAGCATCGTCATCATCACCATCATCATCACCATCACCATCATCAACATTATCATTGTCATCATCATCAGCATCATCAGCATCGTCGTCAGCCAAAGCAGCATCCCGCATCCTCATCCTCATCCTCATCCTCATCCTCATCCTCATCCTCATCACCACCACCACCACCACCACCACCACCTACAACATCACTATCATCATCAGCAGCAGCACAAGCAACACACCATCAGCATCATCACCATAATCCGCATCGTCATCATCAGCACAATCACCACCACCATCAACATCATCAGCATCCTCATCAGCATCACCATCATCATCATCATCATCAGCATCATCAGCACCATCAGCATCATCAGAATCGTCGTCGACACCCTCATCAACATCCGCACCATCATCTTCATCCTCGTTCGTATCCTCACCATCAGCATCATCAGCAAAAGCAGCAGCTTAACACCATCATCAGTCTAATCGTCATCCCCATCCTCATCAGCATCCTCATCACCACCACCACCACCACCACCATCATCATCATCATCATCATCATCATCATCAGCATCATCATCATCATCATCATCATCATCATCATCATCATCATCATCATCATCATCATCATCATCATCATCATCATCATCATCATCATCATCATCATCATCATCATCGTCATCGTTATCATCAGCATCATCATCATCATCATCATTATCATCATCATCGTCAGCATCATCATCCTCATCCTCATCCTCATCCTCATCAGCATCCTCATCAACCACCTTCTCCTACTCCTCATCCTCGTCACCATCATCATCAGCATCATCTGCACCACCACCACTATCATCAGCAGCATCATCAGCATTATCATCATAATCAGCAGCAGCATCAGTGTCATCATCATCATCATCGTCGTCAGTATCATCATCAGCATCAGTATGATCGTCACATCCTCATCATCACCAGTTGCATCATCACCATCACAGTCATCATGATCAGAGTCATCAGCATCATCAGCATCATCATCGTCCTTATCATCAGCAGCTGCACCATCAGTATCATCTTCATCGTCATCCTCATCCGCACCCTCATCCTCGTGCCCATCCTCAGCCTTACCATCATAATCATCATCAACATAATCATCCTCATCATCGCCATCATCACCATATCCATCTGCATCGTCAACATCTGCATCATTAGCATCATCATAATCAGCATCATCATCAGCATCATCATCATCAGTATCAGCATCGTTGTCATCATCATCCTCATTAGCATCATCAGCATCGTCATCATCATCAGCAGCTGCAGTATCGCCATACTCGGCATGATCATCGCCAACATCAGCATCATCCATATGTCATCACCATTAACATGATCATCCGCATGAGCAGCGGCAGCATCAGCATCAGCGTCAGCATCATCTTCATCACCATCATCATGATCATCATCATCATCATCATCATCATCATCAACATCATCATCGTCGTCATTATGATCATCATCAACGTCATCACTTCGTCGGCGTCATCATCATCATCATCATCATCATCATCATCATGATCATCAGCTGCATCATCATCATCATCATCATCATCATCATCATCATCATCATCATCATCATCATCATCATTAGCAGCAGCAGCAGCAGCATCATCATCAGCACCATCAGTGACAACAGCATCATCATCCCTCCTCATCTTCCCTCCTCCCCACTTCCTCACTCCTGCCCCTCCTCGTCTTCCTCCTGCTGCTCCTGCTCTCACCCATGCCCTTATCTTGCTGCTCCTCCTCCCCCTCCTGGAGCATCCGCCCCCCCCCTCTCCAGCTGACGCTGCCTTTCTTATACCCCGCCTGTCTCGGACACGCGTTTTTGCACCAGCTTGTCCCGAGTTGGCTTTCGGTGCGCATCTCAATCAGGCCGCTCGGGGCCCTTCAGCAATGATGCTCCCGCTGCAGCGCTGGCCGCATTTCAGGATCGGCTCTCTGCTCCCGCTGTTCAGATTTGCGCTCTCGCCGCTGCGCGGGCCATGTTTCTGGATCCGATTCGTTCCATGCCGTTATCGTTTTCCCCCCTCCGCCTTCCTGCTCCTCCTGCTCCTCCTGTTCCTGGTGCTGCTTCTTGTTCTTCGTCATTCTGCTCTTCCGCCTGCTCATCCGCCACCTCATCCTCCTATCCCTCCTTCTCCTCATCCTCCTCCACAACCTCCTCCTCCTCCTCCCTCGAGCACAGTGTAATGACAAAGTCCCACTTGTCTGATCCTGCATCACACGATACGGGCCACTGTGGGGATTAATGCCGTCTAGGACACACGAGCCGGCGGATAGAAACACATTCAGCGCAATGGGAAAGGATGAGTGAAAGGTGGGGTGTGAAATATTATGGCGCGAGCGCACACACCTCTCTATTCTCCTCCTCCCCCCTCCACCTCCTCCTCCTCCTCCTCCTCCTCCTCCTCCTCCTCCTCCTCGTCCCTCCTCCTCCTCCTCCTCCTCCTCCTCCTCCTCCTCCTCCTCCGCCTCCTCATCCTCCTCTCTTCTGCCCCCCTTTGCCCCCTTCTCCAACTCATCCGTTCTTGCTCCTCCTCCTCCTCCTCCTCCTCTTTGCCTCCTCCTCCTCCTCTGTTCCTCCTCCTCCTCCTCCTCCTCCTCCTCCTTCTCCTCCTCCTCCACTCCCTCCCCCTACTCTCCCTCCTCCTTCCACCTTCCACCTTCACCTTCCTCCTTCTCCTCCTCCTCCTCCTTCCTCCTTCCTCCTCCTCCTTCTCCCTCATCGCTCTCTTTCTCCTCCTTCCCTCGCCCCCTTCCCCCCTCCTTTGGCGTCTTGAAGACGTACCGGTCGAACGTCCCCAGGACCACGCCAGCGATGAACACGACGCCTAGGAAGAGGATTAGCAGCGTCATGTTTCGCCACCACACCAGCGACCTGTCCAAGATGAGCGGGGAGGAAGGAGGGACGGGGGAAGAGGGGTGGAACGAGGGAGGGAGAAGGACGGGGGTGAGGAGGCGGGTCTTGTTGGCGGTTGTTGATGCGTTGATGATGTTGCTTCGGCCACTTGGGGGGTCCTACTTCTGCAGACGAATACTGGCCCCTGGTTGCGCGTTTGGCCGTTCCCTGTCGGCGCCCTGTGCCTTGGTGCCCTAAGTTCAGCAATCAGCCGTTCCCTGGCCTTGGCGTTGGTGCCCTGTGGCTGGCACTGATGCGGACAGCCAGCCGTTTTTCGGTCGTTGCCTCATGGGTTGGTGCCCTGTGGCTGTCCCTGTGTTGCGAAGTCGTCCGTTCCCAGTCCGCCCATGTGTTGCGCAGGCGGCCGTTCCTGGTCGCGCAGTGCCCTGTAGTAGGCGCCCCCTATGGTTCCCTGTGTTGCGACGTCGGCCGTTCGAGCTGTGCGCCCCCCTGGAGCGATGCCCCTGGATCGGTTCCCTACGGCTTGTGCCCCGAAGTGCCCTGTTTGGGACAGTCGGCCGCTCCCGCTCTGTGGCCTGTGGTGGGTGCCAACTGATTCCTTCGCTAGGCCTGCGAATTTGCTTTGCTTTGCGTTGCACCCCATTGCCTGCACATCGGGAGTGCTAAGACATGCTGCTTGGGGTCCGCGCGCTGCCATCAGTCTACAAAGTACAATGTTTGAAAGCCTCGCGAGAAGAGGACCATGAGGAGAAGAAAAGAGGGTGGAGCGGAGGAAGAGGAGGAGGAGGAGGGGGATGAGGAGGAGGAGAAGGAGGAGGAGGTGCAGCATTATATTGCAGCAAAGGGAGGAAGACGAGGAAGAGGATTCGTCCTCTGCCACCGCTTCTTCCTCCTCCCTTCCCCTCCTTCGTGTCGCCCCCCTCCCTTCACCTCCCTCCATCCTCCGTCTCCCCATCCTCCCCCTCCATCTCTTTTCCTTATAACTCCTCCCTGTCGCACTCCCAAACGCGTCGGTAGGGCGGGCCAGGCGCTTCGCCTGAGACACTACTTATGATCCTGAAGCTTGCAATTTGCAACATGATCACACATGCAGTGTGGCTGGTGATCAACCTGCGGCTCTCGCCTGAGCGCCGCACACATTTCTTTTGAAAAGCCTGCGACTGTTTCGATAATGGAGAGCGGGCCCTTTTCCAACATGTGGCACTACTTACCAGCGCGCGCAGTCGTCTTACAAACTCGCAGCAGCATCACGAATGGAGGGCGGGTGGTTTTCAACATGTGGGTCTCGCCCAATGGCTGCGCGCATTCGTCTGGAACAATGCGAAGCCAGTTCACGGATGGAGGGCTGGCCACTTTCTGGCTCTCGCCGCAGCGCCGCGCACATTCTTTTAAAAGTCTGCAGCTGTTTCAAGGATGGGAGGCGTTTCTTTTTCAACTTGTGGCTCCCGCCTGAGCGCCGCGCACCCTCGTTTTAAAAGTCCCAGGGCGAGCGTTCGGGCACGATTTATAACTGCGACGACTGACTTCCAAGGATATGGTGTCCTGGCACGATTCAGGATTGCCAGCACGCACGCGTCAAGTGGATTCGCAGCGCTGAAATTATTTTTCTTCCAAAGGAACACGTCCCGCAATAAACTCAAGTCACACACATTTTTTCAGGGACCTATGATCAGGGAACTTGGAGGAAGAGATTATTGCGACATCGTTGATGCGTGTTGGGTTCGCACTCCTCCTCATTCTCCTCATCCCTCTCCTCATCCCTCTCCTCGTCCTCGTCCTCCTCCTCCTCCTCCTCCTCCTCCTCCTCCTCCTCCTCTTCATCCTCCTACTCCTGCTCATGCCTTCATTCTTTCATTCATTCCTCCCGTCCTTTCTTCTTCGCCTCCTCTTCATCCTCCTCCTACATCCCCCCTTCACTGAAAACATCCCGCCTTTGTCTCGGAACCAGGCGCGTCCGTAGGCCAGGCCGAGTTGTTTGCTTGACACGTCCTGACAAACAATGTCCGATCATGGAGCAGACAATTTCCAACATTTACATGGATGGAGGACGGATCCATTGCAAAATGTGGCTCTGGCCTTAGAGCCGCGCGCATTCGTTTCAAACTATAGCACAGCGACACTTATGGAGGTAAGTTCCTTTCCAGATTGTGACCCTCGCCATAGCGCCGCGCACACTGAAGCAAACACACCCTACAGCAACATAGACCCGCAAGACTGAAATCCCAGGAATGTAATTCTGGAGCGATTTTGTGCTGTCAGGACGCGACAGCCACAGGGATTCTCAATGGGCTCGAATGCCAGGCGTGGACTTCTGGACCCATTCTGGGCTGCCACAGCGCAACTGCTACACATTGATTCTTGGGATCGGATCTCCACGGATGGACTTCGGGGCGATTTGGGATTCTCGCGCGGCTGTCTTCCAATGGGGCACACTGCGCTTTTTGCGCCGGCGGTTGGGCAGAGGCTGCTGCTCCGGCGATCGGGCATCAGCGGGGCGCGCCAGATGCAAACTCGGGCCGCAATGCGCGGGAGGAGGGGAGGAACCAGGCACACTGCACTGACTACCTACCAGGCCACCCCAACCCAAACCGAAGACCCGAATTTCGGGTTGGGGGGGGGGTACGGGTTCCATATGTGTGTTTTCTCTATGTTCCCCGACCCCCCCCCACTGGAAATGGAGGTCAATTTGAGGCCTTCGGGTTGGGTTGGGGTGGCTTGGTGGGTGGTGATGCACACACTGCACTGGCTGCACGCACTGCGCGCACTGCACACAGTGCACGCGCTGCACACTGCGCCCCCGTCGTCGTGTGGGGCGGCCCTGCGAGGGGCGGAGCGGCGGCGCCTGGGCGCCGACAGGGTAAGCAAAACATCCCACGCGGGGGAAGGGGAGAGGAGGAGGAGGAGGAGGGGGAGGAGGAGGAGGAGGATGAGAAGGAGGAGGAAGAGGAAGAGGAGGAGGAGGAGGAGGAGGAGGAGGAGGAGGAGCAGGAGGAGGAGGAGGAGGAGCTGGCCGGCAGGTTCCCTCACCTTGTACTTGCCGTAATCTCGCTGCACGTAAGGTTCCTCCATTTGCGATCATCGAATACTTTCCGGCGCAATGCTCCGCCAATCCTCTTCAGAAGCCGTGTGGGTACATGTTGTGCTATGTCGTCGAGCCACCTTTTGCTGGGTCGGTGCGGTAATCTGTTTGCATGCGTACTGGTCGATATTGGATCACATAGTACAGCCCGCAAGGGCAACGAGTGGTATGAGGGGCCCATGAGGAGGGATCTTGGGACGGGAATTGGCGGCGAACACGGGGGGTAGCGGGAGGTGGGAAGGCGTCTTAGAAAGAGGCTGCTTCTTACATTTCCTTGCACCTACAGACAAGGTTCACGCCTTCCAAGAAGGAGCCCCCTTCTAAGAAGCCTTCCCCCCTCCCCCTACCCCCTTGTGCGCGCCGCCAAGGGAGGGTTTAGTGTGACATCGCTGGTAAACTTGGGGTTTGCACTGGTCCTCGCGGCCCCGTTAAAACGGAGACTTGGACAAAGCAGCACGTCTGCACGCCAGAGAAGACTGCAGCCGCGGGGCGGGACATGTTTCGTTCTTCGCTTTATCTCCCGCTGGATCTGACAGTGCCCTGGTTTGCAGTCCTGGTTTCCTGGGTGAGAGGGAAGTTGCAAGGGGTAATGAGAGGGAGGAAGAGCAGGAGGAGGCTGAGGAGGAGGAAGGAGGCTGAGGAGGAGGAGGATGAGGAGGAGGAGGAGGACGACGAGGAGGAGGAGGAGGAGGAGGCTGAGGACGAGGAGGGAGGAGGAGGAGGAGGAGGAGGAGGAGGACGGCTCCCCTGCCTCCCAATCCTGCCCGACAAAAGCGGCGCTGCTCTCGGGGACGCCATGCCCCAGGTCTGCACAAGCCCAGGTCGGCAAGGGCCCTGTCGCGAAGCCAGGCCTGCCGCTCGGTAGGAGGAGGAGGAGGAGGAGGAGGAGGAGGAGGAGGAGGAGGAGAGGAGGAGGAGGAGGAGGAGGAGAGAAGGAGGAGGAGTAGGAGGAGAGGAGGAGGAGGAGGAGGAAGGAGGAGGGGGAGGAGAAGGAGGAGGAGACGGAGGAGGAGGAGAGGAGAGAGGGAGGGAGAGAGGAGGAGGAGGAGGAGGTGGAGGAAGAGACGGAGGAGGAGGAGGAGGAGGAGGAGGAGGAGGAGGAGGAGGATTCAGCCCGGGCCAGCGGAGGGCAGGCGAGGGAGCAGGCCCCACGCGGCTTCCGGCCCCGGGGCTGGCCAGAGGGGAGCGGCTGGCCCCCGCCAGCGCTGGCCCCGCCGCTCCCTGGAGCGGCGGGGGCCCGGCGAGGCGCGCGCGCGCGCGCGCGGCGGGCGCGAGGGGCGCGCGCGCGCGGCGGGTGCGAGCGCCCGCCTGCGGTGCATCTCCACGCGCAGCTGGTAAAAGAAGCCCGGCAGCCTCTCCGAGCCACCGCCGCCGCCGCCGCTTCCAGGGCCCCCCTCGGCGGCCCCCCTCTCGGCGGCCCCTCTCGGCGGCCCCCCTCGGCGACCCCTCTCGGCGGCCCCCCTCGGCGGCACCTCTCGGCGGCCCCGTCGGCGGCCTCTCGGCGACCCCTCGGACCTTCAGCGGTCCCTCGGCGGCCGGGGCGTTGCCCAAGGGCGGGCGACAGACGGGGGGGCGAAGCAGCGTGCCCCTTTGGCGCACCCTGTGGCCCGAAGGCATGCGAGAAGCGCAAAGAGTTCTTCTGTGCGCCTCCTCTCGCACCCCCTTCTCCGACCTTTCCATGAGGTTTCTAGGGAGCACCGCCGAATCATACTTGCCCCCCTCGTCGCCAATCGGTAGCACTTCAAGGCGCCCAGGGGTCCTCAACGGACACTTACCGAACTCTTTTGAGAGCTGATAAGGGGGCGCTGAGGAATGCATGAGGGCGCACAAAGGTGCACGTAAGGTGTCCCTTTTCGCCCCTCCATTACGCAACGGCCCAAGCCCTCGGCGGCCTGGGCAGCGGCGCAGAAAGCGGTGGTGGCAGGCGGCGGGCGGCGGCGAC